CGAGAGGGGATGCAATTTTAGGCAGGCATGCGTTTCTGGGCATAACACCGGCCCGGTTCAGTGGAGTGAAGCGGAACCCGGTTACATATGCTTTCATATTTCTGTAGTATATTTTATTTTGCGCATGAAGTTTGATACATTATCTTAAAGCTTGATTTAAAACACGGGTTTGCGCCGTTGTTAATCTTACACCGTGTAATGCTGGCATATTAGTTCTCGCTACCTCCTAGAGACCCCCACTCCCTCCCCCCTTCTCCTTCTCTTGGATGTCCCACACCCAATTTTCCCGTGTTTTATTTCAAAAAGAAATACCACTTGCGCCAAGTCTAGAATCTTTTAAGATAACTGATGGATGGCGACTTTCCGGGTTTTGTTTGTATGCTGTCTTAGGTGAGACCGAGACAGGCAGTCTTAGTAAAGTCGTAATTTTCCGGGAGATGCTACCGCTAATGACCGCAGTGAAGTTAGTTTCAAGTTGGATATTCGATATTCGAGCTCCGCGGAGTAAGCGGCGTTTAGCTCAAGGTTGATCCGATTTATGAACGCTACTGTCGGCCAGCGGTTCTCCACCGCTCCCGGCCGCAGCGCCCGAAGGTTCACTTAGGGACTGTCAACAAATTACCGAACCAAACATTCCTGTCAAAGAAATGTTAATAAATGCCTTGAATTGTAACCAACTGTCAGTGCTAATTCAGGCTTTTACATGAGCCAAAATAGCATCTATAAAATTTTAAATTCAATATTTTCAATAATTTTAATATTAAATAATATGTTTTCTTCAATAGCTTAACATATTTTTTATTTTTTAGCTCATGTAAAAGCCTGAATTAGCACTGACAGTTGGTTACAATTCAAGGCATTTATTAACGTTTCTTTGACAGGAATGTTTGGTTCGGTAATTTGTTATATTTACTTCCATAATATTTTATTAAATTAATGGAGATTTTCAGTTTTATCTATAAAGAACTTTAACAAGCAACAAATTTCTGCTCAGAAACACAAGAGCAATAAAACTAATAATAGTTTCTAATCTGAGCCAAACAACCAAGAACCTTGAAAAGTTGAAGTTTCTCCACATGTTGACACAACCATCTGATATGTTGATATTTATCAAATACAGATTTTATTAATTTATTTAATCGTGTTTAATGTTGATTCTCACCTGAACCTCTTTCATTCCTGAACATTAAGCTCTTTAAGCTTTGGCCTCTTTTAGTCTGGAGGCTTTAAGTTGTTTAACTGATTCGTCTCAAACGTTTCAATGAAAAAGTTAAAAACCTGCTGAGTTACAAACAGTGACGTTTACTGTGAGATGTTTATCAGTTTCTGTCGGCTGTGCAGGAATGTTTTCTCATTACTCGCATGCCTCAAAAACAAAAGATTCCACCTACAAACACGACATTAGGATCCGACCACCAGATCCATTTTCTGATGTGTAATAAATGGAAGGTGAAGGTTTCTGGTCAAACCCTTTAATGAAAATATCACTTTTCAAAAAGTCATACTAGTAAATATAATTTAACACAAAATGGAGAACTGGATCAGGAAGCGTCTGTCTTACCTGGGAAAACCTGCTGAGCCTGGCGGTGGGGTCATAAGGTCGTCCATCAGCGGCCCGCTGTGTTTTTGGGTTAAAAATGTTCCAAACATTCAAGTAAGTGTCATAATTTAGAGGGCAGTGAAGCCTGGTGGCTGATAAAACACAGAGGAAACCCAGACTTCTGTCTGTGGTTCCAGTCGGTCTCTGGGCTGATCTTGGTCCCTCAGGAGACGGTGACAAATAACCTTTCAGCAAAATATATGAGCTTCACTTAAGTCAATAATTCATTAATATTGATGAAAAAGATCCAGTTCATTTGGCAGATTATTTCACCTATAAAAAAAATTTCTCCATGTTATGAAACAATCTGCCAATGAAATCAGAATTTTATTCCACTGGCAAAATGGAATAAAAGTAAACCTTTATTATGTCCACCAGGGGGCAGAAATGAGCAACAAATGTTTATTTAAGACTCATTTAATCATCAGAAAAAAGCGTTACCTTCATAACGAAGAAGGATTTTATAACATTTTAAAAACGGCAGAAATTCTCAGGAAAACATCAAAAGTTAATAAAACATAAACCATATGAGAAAAGAAATGATAAAAAAAACAGCAGAATGAACAATTAAATTAAACTCTTAAACTTCAGTATCATAATGTTGTCCATCAGAACTCATCTTAATGTTAAACTATGCAACATGTATATCTGGTTTTCTTTTGATTACTATTTTATCTCTGTGATTTTACCGAATGTGTTTAAATTGTCCTTCTTGGGTTTCTGTCCAGCTTTAAACTGACCTCAGGTTCTCCATACTTCACACAGACTTTAGAAGCAGAAACACAAAAACTACTTTATCAGGTTTCCTCCTATATTACATCCTCATACAAATATTTACACAACAATGAAACTTCTCACTTTCTCTACATCAAAAGCTAATTAAAAAGTGGAATTATTGGTTTCCCTTCAATTAAAACTATCATATTTATGAGCTCTAAATTAAAAAAACTGTCATATTTCTGAATTTTAAAGCTCCAAATTTGGCGGAAAAAGTGTAAAATTTCCCAGACGTTAAGGAGCCGTTCGTCTCCAATAAGAGTAAAACTCGGTGCTGATCTGCAGGATTCTTCAGAACCGGTCCGTCGTTAGCGGGCAGGAAGCGGCTGCATCTGCAGGGAGTCGTAGGTGTCTCTGGTGGCCGAGCTCAGACCCTGAAACCAGTCAATCAGTTAATCAATCAGCTGATCAGAGCGAGTGTTGGACGGGTCGGTCCGGTCCGGTCGGTACTCACCTGGTAAACCTGCTCGTTCTTCCGCTGACGCTGCAAAAACAACAGTTTTTAATTCAACCGGTTCCAGAATCTCACCAAACCTCATGGTGTTCAGACGCTCACCTCTCTCTTCACAGGAAGCTCTTTGTACGTCGGTTCTGATCGTTTCTGCAGGCCCTGAAATCCAAAAACAGAACCGGTTAGATAAACATCCCAGAGGTCCCGGCGGTTCTGGAGGGTCAGTTTGGTACCGTGTAGGTGGAGTCATCCGGCGCTCTGCGGTTCTGAGAGACAGAATGAGAAGAAACAAGATGAAGCATCTGAACAGAACACCTTCAGAACCGTGGGCGGACACCGGGACTTACCCGTCCTCGCTCCGGGTCGGTCATCAGCGGCTCGTAGGTGTCACCGGTCGGTCTGCTCAGAGGCTGAACACAGAAACACCATGAAGACGAATCCAAACACAGAAATATGAGCAGCGACACCGAGAGACGGACGGGAACTTACAGCGTAGGTGTTGTCGTCTGAGCCCTTCACTTTGGTTCTGAAGAACTGAAACACAGAAGGTCCAGAATAAGTTTTAAAGCTGCAGTACGTCACTTTGAGAGAAAATATGTTCTTCACATGATGACAGTTTGTCACGAGGCAGATAATCTGTGAAAAGATCGACCTGCACCTGGAGCTGCTGCTGCTAACGAAGAAATGCAGCAAAAACAACCAATCAGAGCCAGGAGGAGGGGCTTAGCGCTGTCAATCAACTCATGTACTCGGTGCTGAATGTGCTAGTGGTGGAGAAACATCTTACTGTTACAGGAAAACCCTTTATCGTTTTCCTTTTTCTACCAAAAACTGAATGATAAATTCTTCAGTTTGGTGTTTTGGTCTCAACCAGTCCTTTTTTTATTTTTTTATTGAAGGATAGTTTTGTTGTTTTGCTTATTTATTTTAGATATTTAAAATGTCTTCCAGTTCTAGTATTAAATGTTTGATAGAATTTAACGTTTATTGAGCTTTAAGAATATGTTCTTGCATCATTATTTTGAAAATATAATAATATTTTCCTGGTTTGGCCCATCAGGTTTGGTAGAACATGTTCCACCTGGTTCTCTTCCTGCTCAGGTTTGTTTTGGACCCACCTTCTCCTTGATGAACATGCCGGTGATGATGAGGCCGTAGAGGCCCAGGAAACCGTCCAGGATGTAGCAGAGCTGAGGGTCAGCGATGCTCAGCGCCTCTGTAGAGGTCAACACACACCGTTAGTCAGGGTCTGGCTGCAGCTGCTAGCATGTGTGTGTGTGTTTGAGCGAAGCTCGGCGGTTTCCTCAGCTGCTTCAGCTCTCGCTGTGGCTCATTAGCTCACAGGTGTGTGTTGGAGTGTGGTTCAGTGTGGGCGTGTGTGTGTAGGTGTGCGTGTGTGTGTGTGCGTCTGTGTGTCAGTCAAACTGAGAGACGCAGCAGAGGCAACCTTCATGTCAGAAACCTCAGCAGAGTTTCAGAGGCGCTCGGCTCTGAACTGAAACAAGCAGGTTCACCAAACCAAGTCTGAGACCAGAGCGAAGACGGCTGAACAGAACCGGAGCGGTTCTGTCTGAGCAAACAGAGAAGGCGACCCAATCTGAGACCGAACCAGAACCTCTGGCTTCTCCAGTAAGAGGGAAAAATCATCTTTGTATGTCAGTTTGTGTTTCTGCTGCTTCTAAAAACAACCAAGATCTTAAAAACCATCCAGCTGTTTTTTAGCAGTAGGTTCAGGATTTTAGTGTTTGGAAAATGAGACGTTTCAAAAACCTCCAACAGGCACTGCCCCATTACCTAGCAACGCCAGCTGAACTCTGCCTGTTACCTAGCAACCCCAGTGGAACTCAGTTTGTTCCCTAGCAACCCAATAAAACTCCAGTGCGCTTGGTCAGCAGGTTTTTTCAGAAAAAGAAAAGACAAGTTTTGTTGTCAAAGTGTCATCCAGAAATCACTTGCTGCATTCTGGTTGGTTGTATAGGAGGCTCCACTACTGCTTTTCAAAGATGTATGTTTGCATAATTGTGCCTCTGTTTTCAGCCCTGTGTGACCAGCAGCAGCTTATCTGGACTTAAAGTGACAAAACGCCCTAAAACAGACTAAAATCTAATTATCAAGAACGATTTTGTGCGAGAAATGTAAAAAACCAAAAACGTCTAACGACGATTAGAGAAGTTCCTGAAATAAGTGACTTCCCATTTGCTCTCATAAACGTTCCTCATCTCTCCTCTGTGTTGGAGAAAACGCGGCGGGTGGATGACCTCATGTACAGTCGATCTCTGGTGGTTCCAGGAAGCTTAATCTTAATCTGTCATCTTTGCTCACAGAAATATAAAAGCTGTCAAAGCAGCTCAGAGCAGCACCGCCCGTCCTCCATCGCGTCGTCATGGCAACGGCGATGTTGAGCATATCATCAGGGTCTCTAGCGGGGGCCAGATAAGAGCGAACAGCAGGAAGTGTGTGATCTGATGACGACCGCAGGGACAGTTTCACATGTTTGTAACACTAAACACTCTAAAGCTGCTCGGGACAGGATTTAAAATATTTCTGCATTAAGCAGAAAACAGATGAGAATCAAAGTTCCTGTCGATAATAAACCAACTCAGACGCTGGACGTGAAAAACATTTCAAAAAGCAGATATGAGACGGAAGGAAAAAAAAACAAAAAAAGAGAAATTAATCTGTAAAACGTCGTTTTTATCTTTTAAAAGGAGCTGAAGCTTTAAATGTTTCAGCTTTTGGTGTTTTAGTTTTAGTTAAAGTTACAAACATCAGAAATAAATAAAACCAACAACGAATCAAAGTTTAAACTATAAACTATATGTGGAAACACATCAACGGAGAGAATAATAATAATAATAATAAAACATCATAAGGGAAATTAAGACTTTTTAAGGTTTTACACTGAAAATAATCATGTTTAAAGTTTTTTGCTGTTTTTTTTAATAAACTCTCTGACTTGGTTTTGTTCAAAGCCAAATTTAAGACACATTTATTTAAAAAAAACCTTTTTATCTTTTTACTTTGCACTATTTCTAATTTATCATGGCTGTATGTGTCGATGTGAGGAGCTGTTAGAAGATTCTGTGTAAATAAAGATTATTTAATTGATTAATTGATTTAATTTTTTGTCCTTATTTAACATAGAAGTTCCTTCAACGTCTCACTTCGGGACAGTCAGAGTAAAAACTACGTCCAGAACAAGACAAATATTTACTTCATAGAACTACTAAATTCTAGTTTTTAGTTATATTAGTAACTAAACTAAGTAATAATTTAGTTACATTTTATCTACATTGTCCATTAAATAAAGTTTCTTAAACTAAACGGAGTAAAAATCGTTTTTATTTCCCATCCAGGCCGTTTGGACCGTTTTTAGCCGCGGCTCTTTTTAAATTTATCATCTGATTTTTGAAAATTTCTAAGAAACTGAAATGATTTTTATATTGATTTTATTTTGTAATTATTTACCGTAATAACAAAATCAGATGTATGGATTATTTAGTTCTTTTTTCTCTTTTCTAATTAAATAAAATCAAGTGAAGGAGAGTTTTCCCTCGTTGACTTGAAACAACAGAGACGCCAAAATGAAGAACATAAACATTCATAGGCAGAAATATGTTTTAAAAACACAACGTTATTTAGACGTTTACCAGTTATTTGTAGTTTTACTGTAACTTTGAAAGTCGACGTTTAAACGGAGAAAATGTGAGAAATTTAAACTTTCTTGGATCAGAAATTAAATTATTTTTTTTCAGTGTTTCAGTTTGTTTTATTAAAAAAAACATTAAAAGAGAATTTTACTTCTGTTGTAAAATTGAACAAAAAATTAAAGTTGTGATATTTGATCTGGTTCAAAATGATAACATTTTTATTTTAAAAGTGCAAAACGTTCGTCTGTTTGTTTTAATAGTTTGGATTAAAATAATTAAAGTGATATTTAACAATAACAGGTGATGCTTCATGTTTCCAAACGACTAAAGCTGCTCTGACGCTGCTCAGTGTTTACTGGGTTTACTGGGTTTACTGGTCATGATGATGCGTTTCTGTTTTCTCCTCCTGCCGTTGGAAACAGAACAAAGTTTCCAGTGAAGCAGAGCCTGATGAAGACCATCTGCAGACGAAAACACTCAGTGGAAACGACGGATCATTTCACTCGGCGCTTCTTCGTGAATCATCATTTCTCTGCAGATCAGCGTTTCCAGGCTGAGTTTCCATCACAGCAGGGCTTCCCTGCACGTCCATCCTCAGCTGACAGTCGGTCAAAACGAGTGGAGCTGCGGAGCTTCAGGCTCATTAGCTGATCATTAACACCTGCTGAGAAAAGCCTCAGCGTTCAAGAAGCGTCGACGGCTTCCTGAACGAAACAACAGCCATCAGCCTGTTGCAACACATCTGTGAAAACACAGAAATGATTTTATCTGCTTCTGAAGCCCCTCGTCTCCTTCAAAGAGACGCTGCATCGATAGAAAACCTTCGATCTGAGCATCAAGACGCCCGGTTTGCATGTCGGGGCGTAAAAATGCAGAAATGAGGGAAATCAGAAAGAAGAGAAACGACAGCGTGAAGAGAGGAAACGTCAGGTTCAACAGAAACGAGAGAAACTATTTAATACAGCAACAGTTTAGCCTTCAGTTTTTATACAATCAGGATTCATTTGTGATCATTGTTACGTTTAAATCTAGTTTGATTTTCGGACTGCGCAGTAAAACCTGTCAGACTGACGGAGCAGAAAATAAAGAGTTTAACTGATGACATGAACATCCAGCAGGAAGTGTAGCGAATGAAGACGATTTATTTCAGTTCATCGTTGAGTTTATTGTTCAGTTTTTACATTGTTACATGTAATTTTGGCTAATTATTACATTAAGTTACATTTTTAAGACGTAAAAACAAATTATGTCAAACACAATTATGTGTTTGATTTTCAGACTAGATCAAACTACACAGTAAAACCTGTTAGATTATTTACTTTCCAAATAAAGATTTCTGGTCTATTTTAACTTATTACAGCCGAAATGGTAAAAATTACACATTGACTGTAGTTTTATCTGCACATAAACATCCAGCAGGATGTAAATAAAGACGGAAATAAAACTAAAATGGCTCCTTTAGAGGTAAACGATAAAATCCTCAGTTTATCGTTGAGTTTTTATATAATTAGGCTTCATTTCTGCTAATTATTATATTAATTTACATCTTTCAGTCAAATCTAGTTTGATTTTCAGATTAGATCATCCTGAGCAGTAAAACTAGTCAGATTAACGGAGCAGAAAATAAAACTTTTAACTGCAGTTACATCCAGCAGGAAGTAACGAATAAAACCTGAAATAAAACTAAAACGGTTCAAACAAATCCTGAGCTTATTGTTGACTTTTTTGAATAAATAAGCTTCATTTTATCACATTTTTACATTAAATAGATTATTTCCTCATGTAAATCTCACTATAAGGCGTTAAACGAACCATCTGGACTGAATCGACTCGCTGCAGATCTTCAAACTAGAAGAAGATGCAGAAATGAATCTTTCTGTTTTAAACTGAATCTGAACCTGCAGTCGTCTCTGAGAGAGACGAGGAAAGTCAAACAGGAATCCCACAGGGTGTCTTCTTGGCCCACTTCCTCTTCAGCTCTGTGGTTGGCAGAACAACTTCTCTACTTCTGCCTCATGTGAACTGAGAGTGACATCAGATCACAAAACGGAGCTTTTTCAGGCTGAATTTGTCTCAGATTTCACCGGAATCAGTTTTTGCTCCTCATCTGACGAACAGACAGGAAGTGGATTAATATTAATGAGGGGCGCCGAACTCAGAGCTGCATTGGTGCAGACGTACGCAGAGGATGAGATCTTATCACCGCGTGACATTTTACAGGCTTCTAAAATAGATACAAACATTAAAATAAGAAGCCTCGAAGTACAAACTGTTACAAATAGTTGATTTGTTTAAAACTGGGGCTCCACAGGGACGTGAACTCGGATCACTTAGATTCAGTTTTACAGGGAAAAGTTTTCTAACGTGGCTAAACTAAGAAAATGAAACATTTCTTCAATTATTGAAAGTTACAGAAACTGACAAAACAAAGTGTTTAAAAACAACGCTGGGTTCTGTTAAGTCCAGTTGATGGGATTAACCCCTTAAATCTCCTGCAATTTTTACCAAAACGCCTGAAAAATAAAAAAAAAAGTGCGCTAGCGGATGAAACCTGATTAATAGACGC